GACGAAGAAAATCCTATCTTTATTTTAAAATGTATTTTGTGTTTCATCTCTCGTACAACATATAATGCAAAATGTTTTATAAATGCCCTTAAAATTGACTATTATTTTGAAGTGCTATATTTGTTGAAAGAATGCTAACCGATTAGTTCTAATCATTAATAGAAATAATTTTGAAAATACACTTTTATTGAATTCTAACATTTAATACTACCCAATTATTGACAGCAGCATGCATTTCCTTTGCAAAGGAAATTAGAGATGCCTTCCAGTAACAGTTATTACTTTCAGTTATTGATTAAAAAAATTACAAATGGAAAGACAGAATGACACCTTTTGAAAAGAATTGGGGCCCCTCTTGAAATGTAAACAGCTTGTTTTTTGGTCTGTGGGTATAATGTTTTAAACATCAAAAGTTTCTGTTTTTGGCTTTGTATGATAATTTATATGAACAGTTCTGAGTGGGCAGTATCCAAGTTTACAGAGATCTTATAAAATTATTCTATAGGAGAAATTTTATAAACACAGAGCAAAATGTCAAACCCTCCAGTATACTTCTACAACATGAATTGAAGAGGAAAGAGTGTCATTGTAAAGTAAAAATATTTTCAGCTGACCTTTGGGCTTTGGTTTGGTTTTATGTGGATCTAAAGAAAAAAGCTTTCTATGGTAATGTAGAACCCACTGGTTTTGTCATTTGGACCAAAACTCAAATGTCTGGCAAACACAACATTCTTTTTCTAAGAAAAGAGGTTTACAAAGTTCAAAAAACCTTGGACATCAATAGCTCTTATGAAACAACATTTTGATGATTTAAGTATAAATGAATGAGAAACATATGATTTAATTTCTCCTAAAATACACATGGGTTTAAATATTAAGGGCAAAAGTGCTTGGCAAAATATGAGTTTTTTGTTTAACAGAATCCAAAGATTTGAAAAAGGTTCAAGTTGTTTGACAAAGCAGAGGTACATCTGGATTCTTTACTATTTTGTTGGTAGCACCAATGAATTCTGACCTCATACACTGGGTTTCTGTCTGATTCAAGTGATGAGTCAGATGTATTCTTGACATTGTAGTGTAATCATCAGCAAGGTGGGTGCACCAATCACTGAGGTCTGATAGTTCAGATACTATGTTAAATCATCGAATACTCTGTTTATATCTACATTTTACAGTCATTCATTCCAGGAAACCAGAAAGAGCTCCCAAATATTTGAAGACAGATTTAATCTCCCCCTACTTTTTCAAAATTCAGAAGTGCTAGTTAGATCAAATGCTAATGTTATCTACATTTTACAATCAATCATTCCAGGAAACCAGAAAGAGCATCCAAATATTTGAAGACAGATCTAATCTCCCCCTACTTTTGCAAAATTCAGAAGTGCTAGTTAGATCAAATGCTAATATTTTCAACAGTGTGGAATGCAGACTGTCTGTGTCAGAAATACTAAAAATGCAGACGTCCAGTTCTTTTTTCAGATCTACTATACCTAAATCTCTAGAGGCAGGGGTGAGAATTTTCATATTATACCATCTCTGATTCGTATGCCCTCTACAACATTGAGAATCACATTTCTAATATATGAGGCAAGTACTATTAGATTTCACTAGGAAAGGGCCAAGATCATTTTCTGTGGATGACTTGAATGTCACTTTGGTTCCATTTCTAGATTGAAAGATCCCCATGGGCAGGAGCTGTCTCTGCTCATGCTTACCATTGCATCTCCAGTCCTGGATCATTCATAGAGTAGGCTCTTGATATTTGCTCAAATAAAAATAAATAAATAAAGAGGTACGCATTTTTCTTTAAAACTTTTGCATGCAATAACATATTTTAAAAGATTTTTGAAAAGACCTGACAGGTATTAACTATTCCGCTGTTCAACACTTTATTTTCTATCTGTTTTTACTATTGGCTCTGAACATGTAAATGAACGAACATTTAAATAACTTTGTATACCAGAATTACAAAGAAATAACAACATATTACGGCCTTTGTCTAAGTAATATCAGTCCACCTCAATTGATACGCCTTTTCTAAATCTCATGAATAATTCTGTCAGGAGAGTAAATGTTAAATCCAGGATACAGTATCTTTACACAGTTACTTGCTTAATGACTCCCCGTCTGTATCTGGTGTCACAGGAACAGGCAGAAAGTTTATCCCTGTAAGGTGATACTATGAAAGAAAAATAAGTGATGAATCACAATCAGTTAAAAATTTATGCCAAAAGATACAAAGAAATGTAATGACAGGAGAAAAAAATACTGTAGCATACATAATTACTATTAAAAGTTTTTTTCCTTAGGTATAAAAGTTGCACGTCCTCTTTGTCTCTCTAGAAAAGAAACATTTCATGTTTGCTTAGTTTGGTGACCATCCCCAGCACACCACCTCGAGTTATCAGTTTGTTTATATGTTTACACACACAGGCACACATACCACACAGATGTATTTTAAAATTATATTAAAACTAGAATATATAACCATAAATTTATTTTTTCCAGTTAATCCAAAGTAATATTTTCCTGTTAGCAAATATGTCAATATTTCTTTTGTTAATGATTACAAAATAGCTCATCACGTTACTTAACTGTCCCCTTATTTTTAGACATCTAGGTCACTTAGCAATTTTACCATTATACAAAGGTTCTCTCGAGGTCAGACGCAGTGGCTCATGCTGTAATCCCAACACTCTGGGAGGCCAAGGTGCGTGGATCCCCTGAGGTCGGGAGTTTGAGACCAGCCTGACCAACATGGAGAAACTCCATCTCTACTAAAAAAAAAAATACAAAATTAGCTAGGTGTGGTGGAGCATTCCTGTAATCCCAGCTACTCGGGAGGCTGAGGCAGAAGAATCACTTTAACCCGGGAGGTGAAGGTTGTGGTGAGCTGAGATAGTACTATTGCACTCCAGCCTGGGCAACAAGAGTGAAACCCCAACTAAAAAAAAAAAAAAAAAAAAAAAATTATCTCTTAATTATTAGTGTGTATTTTGAAGTACATCTCTAATGATTATCTTAGGAGGCAGTCAATAGAAAACTGATAATGAGAATGAATATATACTGAGCATTTTCTATTGGTCTGACCCTGAGCTGAATTTTTTGTTAGTAGCTCATTTATCTCCCACAAATTACCTATGAAGTAGGCATAAGTTACTATCTTACCTTGTCAGGGTCAACAAGCTAGGAAGGAGTAAAGTCAGAGTTTGAACCCAGGATCAGCCCTTCCAAGGCCTGCACTCTTCACCTCAATGAAATCAGCATGTCAAAGAATGTTTGAACTATCATAAGGTTTAATATTGAGTGGCTGTGCCACAAAGTTACACCAATTTTTGAGTATCTTGTAAGACTCAATAGTGTTAATTGGTTGAACAGAAAAATAAAAATTTTTAAATTTATGACATAACTAAACATAAAAATATTTTAACCTGTATTTTTCTCATTAAGGTGGCTGAATTTTCCTGTTTATGTATTTATTTCCATTTTCATTTCTGTAAAATCTTTTTTTGTTTTTTTTGCTTTTTTAAAAAACAGTTCTTTTCTTTATTGATTTGTAAAAAAATATGTTTTTTCCATTTTGCCTTTTGCCTTTTTCTATATGATATTGTTGATTTACAAAAGTATTCATTTTTGTGAAAAAATGAAATATTGATTTCCTGTGTGCTACCTGGGGGATGGGGTTATAATAAGTAATCAAATCCCTTTTTGTGTGCATGTAAAGTTAAAATTCTATTTTGTTTTTATTCATATTTAACTCTACTTCATCTGGATTTTGTTTTTGCTATCTAAGAACCATTTGTTAAATATTAATTTATTCCTCATTATTTTGGATTAATTAATATATATTTTGTAGACTTTCTGTATATAAAAGAGTATACAATCAGCAAATAGCATTTTATTTCTCCTTTTCAAGTTTTACTTTAATTTTAATTTTTCTTTTCTGATTGCACTAAGACTGGCTATGCAGCAGGCAACTAAAGTAACAATAGTGAATGTCTTCATCTTGTTCCTTAGTTTGATGCTTCTTACTGGAGAATGCTTCTAACAGCAGCAAACTTCTAACATTTTTGAATTTATTTGTTTATTCTTATAGTATATATTTTTTGAGCAACAATTATTTGTTGACTCATTTTAAATACTTGAGATATATTTATGAACAAAATCCCCAGCCTTGAAGAACTCATTCTATGATTATTACAGATTATTTTTAGCATTTCCAAGACAAACACAACTGGGTCACAACATATTTCTTATTCACACAAATTTAATTTTTGGTAATTACTAATGAGTGAGATAGAGCTATAATTTTCTTTCATATTTTAATTTTGATGTCTAATTTTGTTATTAGAGTTATATTGACTTTTAGAATAAAATAAGAAGAATTCCTTTTTATTTTTTCTGCAAGAAGTTATATATTTATATGATTAGAAAAATGTGTTCCTTGAAAATTTGGTAGAAATCACTTATAAAACAATTTGGGCAGGATATTTTCTTTGTGGTAGGACTTAAAATTGTGGATTCACTTTTATAGTTATCAAACAACTCAGGATTTCTTTGTTTTTTTAAAATCAGTTTTATTTCCTTCATTTGTTTCAAATCTATTGGTAGATTTACTGATAGTATTCATCTTTTTTTAAAAAAATTTTAGTGTTTGTTTACTCTTTCATTCTTAACATTGATACTTTCTTTCATTCTTAACATTGATACTTCTGTTTTCTTTCTTTGATTAATAAGATGTTTATCTAAATTGGAAATTTTAAAAATCAACTCATTTGATTAAATTTGTTATTAGATGTACATTATTTCTTTTCTTTCCCCCCGCTTTTTTTTGAAATGAGATTTTACTCTGACACCCAGGCTGGAGTGAAGTGGTGTAATCACAGCTCATTGTGACCTCCACTTCCTGAGCTCAAGCCAACCTCCTACATCAGCCTCTTGAGTAACTGGGACTACAAGCACATATTGTCATAGCCAACTAATTTTCTTATGTTTTGTAGAGATGGAGTTTCACCATGTTGCCCAAGCTGTTCTCAAACTCCTGAGCTCAAGTGATCCACCAACCTTGGCCTCCCAGAGTGCTGGGATTACAGGTATGAGCCCCCATACCTGACTATATTTTCTTTTACATTAATTTTAGTGCTGATATCTATTTTCTCTCTCAATCTTTTGGGGTTTCATTTTCTTCTAATATTCTGAGGTTTCTTATGTTGTTCTTACTCTATTCTAGCTCCTTAGCGCATTAATTTTCAGAAGTTTAAATTATTATTTTCTAATAAGTATATAAGGCCACACATTTGTCTTAAAGTACAGCTTTTATACAGCCCATTATTTTTATATACAAGTTTTTATTACCCCTAATTCTACATAGTATTCTAAAATTTCCATATAATTTCTTCTTTGAACCATAGCTATTTAGAGTGTTTTCAAATATAAAATGTTGTATAGTATCAACCTTATTATATTGTAGGTAGAAAAAAATATCTGTAGACTACCTCTTCACTGAAATTTGTTAAAACTTTTTTTATTGACCAGTAAATGACAGATTTTTATAAATACTCCATGTATGCTTGAGAGTAATGTGTATTTTCTAATTGTTAGATGTAGAATTTCTATGTGACCAACAGATCAACCTTTCTGAGTTTTTCAAATATTCTCTATTTTTGTTGAATTATTTCTTAACATATCAATAATTAAGAAGTTTCTTACTTCTGTAATTATTAAGATGAATATCTTCGTTTCTCATTATAATCCCATTAATTTTTTAAAAATATTTAGAGCATATGTTATTATGCAGGTATGTATTTAGAATTATTTTATCTTTCTAGTAATTCATTCTTTAATTATTTGGAACAATCCTCCTTACTTTGCATTTGTAACTCCTCCAAATTCTGCCCTGTGTCTCTTCCTTGGCTCACCATAATAACCCATGACTGTGAGTATAAGTTCTCAGTGAATTCCGAGTCCTTCTAACAAATGATGGAAACTAAGTGTGATTTTGGAAAGCCCCAAAACTGGTGGTTGGTTTTGGAAGTGTTTGGAAAACTTGGCAGTCTATAAGACTACCCACAAACTTTGTAGTTTGGCAATCTAGATTATCCAGATCACTTCTAAAAAATAAACTGTGCACATAAATTCTAATTGAGCACGTATAGTTTAGGTAACACTATAATAGATATTTGTTGTTATTGATTTTTATGATAATTTCTTCCCAATATGCTGGAGGAGCTCAATTCAGGCCTTTGGAGGCTGGGATCCTAGACCTGAGCAAGGAGTTGGAGTACAGGGAATTGGAGCAGCAGGGAACTTGGACCAGGAGGTAGCCAGAGCCAATCAAATTTCTATTACAGCAACACTCTTCATATCTGGAGAGTGAAACTAAGAATGATGGCGAAGTGAAAAGCTGATCTCATCTTGAAGAGAATTGAAGTGGTTGTAGATAAGGAGGATTTCTGACTACCAGCATACATCTCTGGGGTCAATTTCCTCAAGGCAAGTCACTGTGAGTAAGAAAGGACAGAAATAAAATGCAAGCTATTTAGATAATTGCTAGGAATTATATTTTATCTCCGTCAAATTCATATGTTAAATTTCTAAAATCCAATTTGATGGTATTTAGAGAAAGGCTTTAGGAAGCAATTGGCTTTTGATGACAGCATGAGGATGAGACCCTTATTCTGAAATTATTGCCATTATATGAAGAGAAAGGGACACCATATCTCTCTGTCTGTATCATGTGAGGACACAGTGAAAAGGTCACCATCTGCAAACCAGGAGGGGAGCTCTCATCAGAACCTCACTGTGTAACACCCTAATTTTGGACTTCCTTCTTTTAGAATTTCAAGAAAATAAAGTTTGTTATTTAAGCCACTGAGTCTATAATATTTCATTATGGCAGCCCCAAAAAACAGATATTATGCAAATGTTGAAAATTAGAGCAACAGAATGTGGATATTAGTATACATATTTAAGAAAAGTAAGTTTGAAATTAAAATTTTTAAAAAAAATCAGAAATTGTCATATTAAAAACGTTCAATAAATGAAAAAATATGAAAGTAAAAGCAAATACTCAATAATTTGGTTCATTAACAATTTAGTCATAGTTGAAGAAAGAATCCATAAACAGAAAAAATACATTGGAAACTTATGCAAAATGTTGCAACATTAAGAAAATGCAAAATTTTTTTTTAAATGAGCTTAAGGTATAGGCAGGATCAAATAAGAAGGTCTAATCTATGTCTTTTTGGAGTTCTGAAGCCCAGATACAGGAAGCACAATATATAACAAGACATACAAATAGAAAGAAATTCATATCTGGACACATTATAGTAAAACTAGGGATAAAAACCACCAAAGAAAAAGAGAAAAACTTTAAATCATCCAGATAGAATGAGTGGATTAATTACTAAGAATGGCAATGTTCTCAGTTATGACAGTGGCACTAAAACACAGTTAAAATTTTTTCAAAGTGTCAAAGAGAGAAAATAGCTACCAACCTAGACATTTATTTTTAACTAATTTATCTCTCAAAAACAAGAGTCAACTAAGTACATGAAGGGATAAACACCATCAAAAATGCTTCTAAATAAAATTCTGAAGGATAAAAAGTAACACCAAAGAACATTAAGAGATTCAGAATGAGCGGTGAACAGAAACATAAACATATAAGTAAAAGATGAGAGAAATTGTCTTTACAAATATGACACTTCTAAAAATAGTTTTTAAATTGTGGGGTGAATAAATACAAAACCAAAGCATTAAAAAATAATGGTATATGAATTTGGAAAGTGGAACATGAGAGTTAACTGTTCAGTAATCCTTTTATTACTTGAGATGAGAATGAAACACCAAGATAGGGTGCAATTTCAGGCTTTAAATGTTCATGGTGTTAGAGTTTTATTTCTGCTTATAAAAAGCCATAAAACAACTTTGTACTCACCTAATGTTGAGAAAAAGCCAGATACGACATCATAATTGTTCTTTAAATTATTAGAAAATGACCAGGTTAATTAAATTCGAAAGAATGACAAGCCCCTCTAAGGAGCTATCAGGGAAATAAATTCCCCATATTTCCCCTATGACAAACCATGAGAGGATGCAAGAACCATGATAATAATGGCTAAGAAAAGATAGCTAAGTTTTAAAAAAATTCTTAAAGGCCAATAATGATTTAGCAAGACACTATAGAGTAACTGGAAGCCCCAGATACAAGAAGAGTTTTACACCAGTTTACAAACTCATTCCTAGCAATTGTCTAAATAACTTGCATTTTATTTCTGTTCTTTCTTACTCACAGTGACTTGCCTTGAGGAAATTGACTTGCTTATCAGCAAATTTATTTGCCTGATATCTCCTTAGAGGGGCTCATCATTCTTTCGAATTTAATTAATCTGGTCACTTTCTAATAATTTAATGAACAGTTATGATATTGTATCTGGCTTTTTTCTCAATGTTAAGGTGAGTAATTGACTGCTGGTAGTCAGAAATCCTCCTTCTCCACAACCACTTCGATTCTCAAGATGAGATCAGCTTTCCACTTCCCCATCATTCTTAGTTTCACTCTCCCACAGCAGTGTTGCTGTAATAGAAATTTGATTGGCTCTGGCTACCTCCTGGTCCAAGTTTCCTGCTGCTCCAATTCCCTGTACTCCAAGTCCTTGCTCAGGTTTAGGATCCCAGCCTCCAAAGGCCTGAATTGAGCTCCTCCAGCATATTAGGAAAAAATTATCATAAAATCAACAACAATGAAAATGCATTATAGTTACGTGAACTATACATGCTCAATTAGAATTTATGGGTACAGTTTATTTTTTAGAAGTGATCTGGATTATCTAGATTCTTTATTATTACATTATTTTCTAGGTCATTCATTTTTAATATAATGATAAAAATAGAAGAATTAATTATAATAGATTGTTCTTTTAGAATCATCTTTTTTCCAGCTGCCATTGATGTGGAAGAGAGGATAAACTCTCAAGTAATTCTTATTGTATAATAGAGGAAATTAAATTTCAGGATAAAAGATAATTTTACTGTGCCTTTCAGGACTATAATACAGCCAGAGAATCACACAGTTTTGATATTTCTTTTAACTAAATAGTATCTTCCCTTTCTGAAATATAAGCACATCATGTTTAGTCTGAAGTTTGCTTAAAAATTCGTTCATGACTTGATACACCTGGCCAAAAGTGAGCAAATACAGACATAGTACAATAGTTAATTTATAGCTACTTTTAGCACCTTTTCTCTTTACTGAACTGAAATTAAACAGGATCTTTTGGTGTGTTTGTGTCATAGATAGATGTATATGTTTTATCTGTACATTTTTTACTTTTACAACAGAATGTTAACAATAGGAGAAAACATTGTGACATCCATAAGCAAATACAAAAGAACACAAAATCTTAAAACTCTATAAGGCTCTACCACATTGTCTATTTAATCTTCTCCAAATACATTATTCTGAAAAAAAATTAAAGCACATGAAACAATTGAAAGAATAGTTTAATAAACACAAATGCACATGTCACCTAAATTCAACAATTGTCAATGTTACATTTGTTTTCTCTTTAAGCATATACACACATACACACACACATTTATTAGTGTGATACTATTTGAAACTAAGTAGCAGAGATCTTGCCATTTCACTCCTAAACAGTTTAATATGTACCTTCTGAAAATAAGGACATTCTCCTATGAAAATAAGTAACTCCTCAATAAAATCAGGTATCTAGTACATATTCAACGTTCAATTGTCCCCAAATGTCCTTTACTGATTTTTATTTTCTATCCAAGATCCAATCAAAGATCATGCATTCCACTTGGCAATTATGTCTCTTTAGCAGTTTTACATCTAGAACAATCTTTCTGCCTTCTTTTCCTGTCATTGACTTTTGGAAGTTCCCATGACAGTGTTCTTTCTGCATGATCCACTTTCTGAGTTTGTCTGGTTGTTTTCTCATGTCACTGTTTAATTTGGTTCTTTATTGTCTATAAACTGGATATTCAGAGAGTTTAGATTCAGCTTCAACTTTTCTGACAGTGATACTTCATGGACAATACAGTTCACTTCAAATTTTATTGCATCAAGTGACACATGCTAGGTTGTCTCTCATGAACGATGCTAAATTTGGTCACTTAGTAAAGGTGGTGATTTCCAGATATCTCCATGGTAAAGGTATATTTTCTTTTCTTATAAATTGTGTTTGGGGTGGTTATACT